GTTTCATTAATCAACTTTTCTATTTTTTAACCAGAACAAAATCATTTTGATAATCACTGCTTTGTAATATATTTGATATCTGTTATTGATAGGTCTCCTTTCTTCCTACTTTTGAAAAATTATTCCTCTGTAATTCTTGATCTTTTACTCTTCAGATGAATTTTGTTACTTTTTTTCCTAGTTCTATGACATAATCTTTTGGTAGTTTGATTTGTATGGTAGTGAATAGGCAGATTAATTTAGGTAGTATAGTTATTATATTGGCTTGACCTACCCAGGAACAACTAATATTTCTCCAATTACTTAATTCTGTCTTTGTCTCCATAAAGTGTTTCATAGTTGGATTCATATAGTTCTTGTGCAAATTTTGGTAGGTAGACTCCCAAATATTTTATACATTCTATGGTTATTTTAAATAGAATTTCTCTATCTCTTTGTTCTGGGTTTTGTTGATAATGACAGCTGGTTGCATGTTTGCTAGGTTTGGAGTTAAAAAGATCAGATTTCAAATCTAGTCTGGGAAAGTCCCTTTGTCTCTGTCTGCCTCACTTGCCTCATCTGTAAAAAGGGATAATAATAGCACATACCTTCTAGGGTTATTGTGATGATAAAATGAAATAATATTTGTAAAGAGCTTTGCAAATCTTAAAACTCTCTGTAAATGCTGTTATTATTTACTAAAACATAGATGGTATATTCGGATTTATTTTATATACTACAACTTTGCAGAAGTTTTTTTTTGGATTAATTTAAATACAATGATCATGTTTATTAATTAGCCGTTTCTCCTGAAGTTGAAATTTGTAAATATGGCTCAGAAATAAATATAACAGAAACAGAGGACTGGAACCACAGAGAAACCAATGCCATCCCTCTTATTAAGTCAGAGTAGCCTCTAAGAAAGCTAGTTAACTACAGAAGAAATCATCATCATAACTTGAATTTCAGTCCCATTTTATGGTTGACAAAGAACTTTCCTATTTGTTGTCTCCAGATACACTATAATATGTACATAGTTGTTTCCTCCCCTATAACTATAAGATGGGGCTCATAATAGCACCTATCTCTAAGGTTTGCTGTGAGGATTAGATGAGATATTTGTAAAGTGCTTTGCAAATCTTAAAGCACAATATAAATGCTAGCTACTGTTACTATTAACTTGTTAATTTCCATGTACAGAACATCTGTGTTCTTGTCATTTGTCATTGCTATAGAGTATTCCATCACGTAAATCTGGTATAATATATGCCCTATCATTAGGCATGTGGATTGTTGCTTAAATGCAGAGCTGTATAAAAACCCAGGGGATTCATAGGCCAAAGTATACAGGTAAGAGAACATGTTAAGAATTTTTCTGTTTGATGCTACCAAGAGAAATACATCAAAGAACTAATAATCCTAAAAAAGTTAAAGACCAATAAAAAAGATATAAAATAATATCTCTATATAAAAACTTTTTAAAAGTTTGTTCTATAACAATAATTCAGTTTTACATGGTGCTTTACAATATAATAATAAGATCTAGCTTTTATACAAATCTTTAAAGTATTCAGAAGACTTTATATATGTTAACTCACTTAATTCTTGTAACCCTGTGAGATAAATACTATTGTTATCACCATTTTACAGATGGGGAAAATAAGGCTTAGGCTAAGTGACATGCCCAAGGTCATAGAGCTAGTAAGTATCTAAAACCGGATTCAACCCAGGTCTTCCTGACACCAAGTCCAGCGTTCTTATCTGCTATGCCACCTGGCTGGCCTGATCTACAAGGTATTTCTTTACTGTGAGGTATATCATGTAAATATTATTATCTTCTTTTTTTTACATAAGGAAACCAAGGTTCAGATTTTGCCCAAGCCATACATTAAATGGATGGACGACCCAAGAATTGAACCCAGGTCTAGTAGTGTAAAGAATTGCTGAACTTAGAGTCCTAGTATTGCAGAATCTCCAAGTGGGAAGGGACCACATTTAGTCCAATCCATATTTGAATAAGAATCCCCTCTAATAAAATGGGACAAGAGATTGTCCATGCATGGTGGAATAAAACATGCTTTATGGAAGAAGAAGCTGTGTAACGGGAGGAAAGGAGAGGAGTTTGGGTTAGAAGTTATAAGGGAGATGTTTTAGAAGAAGGAGCCCTTGAAAAAAGAGATGGGGGACAGAGTCCTTCAAAAGAGAATGGTTAAAATTCAGGAGAACTGGGTTTGAATACAGCTTCAGACCACCAGCAAGCCATAACTTCTTGGAGTCTTAGTTTCCCTATCAGAATAATAGGCATAATGATATGTGTACCTCTTAATTTGCAGGGTTGTTGGGAGGAAAGCATTTTTGCAAAATTTTAGAGATTTATAAATGTGAACGATCATGATTATTTTTCCACTGTACCATTTGGACTCCCAGAACAGATCATAGATAGAAATCCCTGCCCAACAGAGCAGTGCAAGGATGTCTTCTAGAAGGGTCAAGGATCACAGACTCATCCCTGAAAAAGCCCCTAGGTAGGTCAACAATTCCAGTTTGTCCAGAGTAGATCTCTGAAAGAATGAGCAAACAAAAAATGAGTATTGTGAGGTCAGGGATTCCTGAGTTACAAACCTAGAAGAAGACGATAACTCCAAGATGTCTACAAACAAGACCTCAAAATAAAACAGAGCTTGTACCCAAAATCAATTAGAATTCCTAGGAGAAATAATGCAGGGGTTTTTGTAAAGATGAGTTTAAAGTGATATTGTAAATGAGATGAAAGTGATAGGGGGGGAAAATGGAAGAGAAATGAGTGTTATGGAGGAGAGACTTGGAAAGGAAATTAGCAGCTTGGCACGAAAGGTACAAAACCTCACCCAAGTAAGGCTTACCCTGAAAATTAGAATGGGCCAAACCAAAGTGAATGACTCTATGAAACAACGAGAAACAGTGAGATAAAGTCAAAAGATTAAAAAAGAAGAAGAAAATATATAGTATTTCCTATCAAAAACAACTAATCTGGAAAACGGATCAAGGAAAGATCATTTAAGAATTACTGGACTAAAAAAAAATCACTGGACTAACTGGAAGTTATGACCAAAAAAAATTGAGCCTATATATCATATTTCAAGAAGTCATGAAAGATAGCTGCCCAGGTCTTTTAGACCAGAGGGTAAAGTGAAAATAGTAGGCATTCACTGGTTATTTCCTTAAAGAAATCTCCCAAAAGGAAAACTCCTAGAAACATCATACATTGCCAAAATCCAAAGCTTCTAGGTCAAAGAAAAAAAAAAAGACTGCAAACTACCCAAAAGAAAGAGTTTAAGAACTTAAGAACCACAGTCAGGATCATACAAGATTTAGCAGCTACCACTAAATGGGAGCAGACAGCACAGAATGTGATATTCTAAAAAGCAAAAGATATTGATAATAGTAATTATAATAATAACAACCAGCACTTACATAGCAATTTAAAGTTTACCAAGTGCTTTATACATATTAACTCATTTTCTCCTCATTATAACCCTAGGAGGTAGGTGCTATTATTATCCTCATTTCATAGATGGGGAAAAAGAGACAAATTAAATGGTCATATAAAAAGGTCACATACATAGTAAATGTTTGAGGCTGAAATTGAGACCTGAATTCAGGTCTAACTTACAGTAAAAATCACTTACCCAGAAAAAAAAAAAAACACATGCTATAATCCTACAGGGGGAAAAATGATCTCTAACAAGAGAGAGATTTCCAATTACTCTTGATGAAAAAGTTGAAGCTAATAGGAACCTTAAAATCCAAACATGGGAGTAAAGAGCGGCATACAAAGGTAAATATGAGTGAGAAATTAGAAAAAAAAACTTTATAAAGATGAAGTATATACATTTTAATGATGGAAGGGGAAAGATACAAGCATCCCCTAAGAACTAGGTTATCAGCAGGAGTTATAGAGGGAGTCATATAAGATGGAGGATCTGGGAATGATTTTTATTATGTTTTGATTAGGAGAGAATAGGGTGTATATGGGGAGGTGGGGCAGAAACACAAGAGAAGAAAAGGAGAGGAATATAGAGTATACATGTCACATAATCATAGGGAACAAGTAGAAGTCTCTATGAATGAAGAAGGGGTCAGGGAAGTAGACATTACTTGAACATCATTTTGAACTGATGCTGAGTGAAAAGAGCAGAACCAGGGCAATTTACACTATAACAGCAATATCCTAAAAATGAACAGTTTTGAAGGATTTAAGATCTCTGATCAATTCAATGATTAACCAAAATTTCAGAGTATTTCAGAGTATAGATGCATTAGAATGCCGCTTACTCCCTGACAGAGAGGAGATATGCAGAGACACAGACAATGTGAGAATACGTTTTGCTTGACTATGTGTATTTATTAGCAGGGTTTTGTTTTTCTTTGTTTTTTTCCCCGGTGGAGGAGAGGGGAGAGTAGAAAGGAGAGAGAGCAGATGTTTGTTAATAATTTTTTTTAAATTTTAAAAAAAGAACATGGAGAATAGTGGGAGATACAGTTGGATGGATAAAATGAGATCTGATTATGCAAAGCCTAGAATGCCACACTAAGTTTGGACTTCTTATTGTGTAGGAAAGAAATGGTGGTCCTGTAAGTGGAATAAAAGGAATCTGGAAGTTCCTTCCACATGAAAGGAACCTTGTAGACCAAACCCCTCATTTTAAAGTTGAAGAAACCGAGGCCCAGAGAGGTTAAGTGATTCACTCAGTCACACAGCTAGTTAGTGGCAGAGCTGGGACTCAGACCCAAGACCATTGTTCTTTCCACTAAGCACAGACAGCTGCCCCTCCAGGTGCCATAAAGCTTTTCCCTTGAGGACATGTCCAATTCCATTCAAAGACAGGCATCTCTCCCTCCCCCACATCTGCTGCTCTCTTCCCTCCCCCACACCCCTGGTCCTATCCCTGCCTGTCCCCAGCACAAGGAGGATGGGGGGTGGGGGGAGAACAGAGATGGGTAAACAGAAGCCATGTGCTTTTAGTTCAGCCAGTCTCTCCTGTCCCAGCCTTGTAGGAAGAGCAAAGGGTCTTGCCAGTATGAGTCCGAGTCCCTGAAGATCTCTGGAAGAATGGGCTTCTGGGAAGTGGAAGGGCAAGGACCCCTTCCTTCTCAGAGACCTGAATGAACCACAGGAATGGAGGAAATGAAGTGGAGACCTCCTGAATGGATTCGTGGCTCCAGGGATCAAGGTTCCTGCCATTCCCCCTGGGACTCCCAGTTGACTCCTGCCCCTTTGTGACAGTGGGATGGTATTATGCCTTTTCTAATCCCCCACGCAGCGTTCAGTGGAGGCTGGAGTTTGGAGTTTGACCGGCAACATCTCGGGAGCGCGGAAGCAATAGTGGCCAGAGCTTTCTACTTCCTCAGTCCCTCAAGGCTGGAAGGAGAGGAGAGCCTGCTTCCAGATCTCCCCTTCTCTTGTCCATCTCCTTGCTCTCCTCAGCCTTTCTGGGGAACTATTGCCTTACCAGTCAGATCAGCTCACAGGACCTCTGTAAGGTAAGCCACCCTCTTTTTGCCCTCCTCTGTGGGGCTGTCCCAGGCTGAGGCTCAGAAAGGGATCAATAGGGACTGAGGCTCAGTGTAGAATGACTCCAAGGATAAAACATCCAATTCTGCCTTGAGATCCTTCTAGAATCCTATTAGCCTTGAAAGTGAAATTACTGAAAGAACTATGGAAGTTGAATTGCTATTTTTTTTTCTTTTCTGTTGGGTTTTGTTTCCTCTTTCTGGTGGTTCTTCCTATTGGTTTTGGTTTTTACTTACAACATCACTAATGTGAAAATATGTTTAATGGGAATGTTAATGTATAGCCTATATCAGATCGTGTGCCGTCTTGGGGAGGAGGTGGGGAGGAAGGGGGTGAAAAATTTTCAACTCAAAAGCATATGGAAGTGATTATTGATAAATCAAAATAAATTAATAAAAAAGAAAGTGAAATTACTACAGTGTTACTTGAAACAGGAATTACTGTAGTATTCTGCTCCTCACTTTTTTCCAAATTTGAAATCTATTGAATACATCCAAAGAATGAGTTATATATCTCCAGAGAGTGGTCTTTGTGCAGCTAGGAGGGTACCTGTAGTGTACTGCAAAGAATTCCTGAAAATCCACCATTAGAAATTCATTTCTTTGGGGCTTAAGGATAGTGGACTGAAACTAAGAAGACCAGGGTTTAAGTGGCTCTGTCACTAAACAGTTGTATCATCTTGGACATGTCGTTTTCTATCTCTGGGTCTCAGTTTCTTCATTGGAACAAGGAAAATTTGGACTATGTTGTGTAGAGCCCCTTTCCAATTCTGGCATCCTGAGGCCCAAGTGTTATCCAGATCTTACTCCATAATTCTATTCAGCAGGGTGCTAGTAAATATTTAACAACTGACTCTTCAAAATGCTGTTAACTTTAACCTGCATGATTAATATTTTCTCCATTACTTTCTTAAGTCCTTGATAACCAAAAAAGCAATAAACCAAGCCTTGTTTGTAGGGTTTATTGATTTCTAATGTGTAAATGTTCACGCTGAAAATTTAACAATCAGCCACTTTGAGTTGGCACCTCCGATTCTATTTCTGGCGAGCTGGTCAGATTCTAGCCTCAGTTCCCTGTACTGGCAGGCGCTTGGATTGACCAATGGGGCAGTCAGTTTACTTTTCCCAGAAGTCCTATCAAGACCCATGTGTAAAAAGACAGCTCTCCCATATATTCCTTCTGAAGTCCTAGGAAGCTGAGTGATCATCCTTCCCCTACTGGTTGACCCCTCTCCCTCCATGAATTTCAGATGGATGTTGAATTCAGTTTTGGTGCTTGGTTTAACCTTAGTAGGTTAGGGTGGGCCCCAAGGTTAGGGAGCCACTCCCAAGCTGAAATGTTTGAAGACGGTACGTGCCAGGTCCCAACCTGCGAACAAATATTGGGGACAGGGTTCTCCGAGTTCTCTTCTTGAGCAAAGATTCCATAATTTCATGGTCGCCAGTAGCTTCATTGCAGCAAGCTGCGGTCATGAACTTACTGGGTAATCAAGGCACGTTACTCCCTTTCCAGGATCCTCATCTTTTTTCATCCAGAAAACTAGTGGATTGGGCCAGAAAGGCTCAAAGATCCCGTCTAGTTCAGCGCTCTCTAATTCTGTCCAGGTCCCTGAAATTCCGCTACTAGGAATGCATTTTTTTAGTGCTTTAAGTCTTTCTCAACTCTCAGGACCCTCTTTTAAAAGGCAACTACTTGGGGTAGCTAGGTGGTGCAGTGGGTAGAGCACTGGCTCTGCAGTCAGTAGGACCCGAGTTCAAATCTGGCCTCAGATACTTGACACTAACTAGTTGTGTGTAATCACTTCACTCCAATTGCCTTGCAAAAAACAAAATAAAAATAAAATGGAAATACTTAAAGAAAGGGACTAGCTGGAACCTTCTCAGCTTAGTGAGTAGCAGGCTGTCAGCAAAGCCTCTGAAATAGGGGGCTGAGGGAGTAAGGCAGGTTTTTTTCTTTTTTTTTTCTTTTGGTGAGGCAATTGAGAGTTAAATGACTTGCCCAGGGTCACACAAATGTCAAGTATCTGAGGTCGGATTTGAACTCGGGTCCTCCCGACTCCAGAGCTGGTGCTCTATCTACTGCGACACCTAGCTGCCCCACTACTTTTCAGCATCCATTGACATTCTCCCTTGGAAAAAAAGATCTCGTCCTCCACCGTATCTACATTGCCCTCTCTATACCTATACTGTCCCCATCTTCATCCCTTAAGAGACAGATACATAGACGGTGTCTTGGGCCAGGACTCCCAAGCCACGGGGACTGAATCCAACTCAAAGGGCCAAATCCAAAGTCAAAGGACCTCACTTGAGGACCTAGAAGGCCACATATGGCCTTGAGGTTGCAGGTTCCCCACTCCTGACTGGGCAATTTATTTGGGACAAAGGAGAGACTCTAGGACACCAGACACAGCCATCATGGAGTTGGGTGGCAAGGAGATTCTGGTTTGGGAGGGGCTCCTGGGGACTAATTACAATATTCTTCTTCACCAGTTGCTAAGTCCAGTTGTTTTTACACCGCTCAAGTTCTACACAGGAAATGTTGTCAACACCCTCTAAGTTTTGGTGCCCAGGGAAAACTTCCGGTTGCCTTGGCCTACTTACACTTCTACTCATTTTGTAGTTTTTCTTTTGTTTTGTTTAGCTCTGCTCGTTTGTAAAAGGAGGGAGTTAGGGTAGGTGTGTCTAAGGTCCCTTCTAACTTTGACTCTGCTCCTCTAAGAGAGACGTGGGGGCTTTGAGGTATGAATTCCTGTAGCCATGTCTAACGGCAGCAAGGCTATAAATAAAATTACGGCTCTCCAAGGCAATCCATCGATCAACAAGCATTTATTACACACCTGTTGTATGCCACGCACTAGGCTAGATGCTGGGGGCCAGGGTACAAAGACAAAAATGAAATCATTCCTGCCCTCACTGAATTTTCAGTCTTAGTGTTGTTCTTGAGTCATTTTGTGACCCCATTTGGAGTTTTCTTGGCAAAGATCCTGGAATGGTTTGCTATCTCCTCGTTCATTTTTTTTTTTTACCTTTTTTTTCTTTTTCTTTTTAGGCAATTGGGGTTAAGTGACTTGCCCAGGGTCACATAGCTAGTAAGTGTCAAGTAGTTGGTCTGAGGCCAGATTTGAACTCAGGTCCTCCTGACTTCAGGGCCGGTGCTCTATCCACTGCGCCACCTAGCTGCCCCTTCCTCGTTCATTTTAAAGATGAAGAAAGTGAGCCCAATAAAGGTTAAGTGACTTACCCAGGGTCATACAGCTAGTAAGTGTCTGAGGCTGGATTTGAACTCAGGAAGATGAGTCTTTCTGATTCTAAGCCATCGTGCCATCTAGCTGCCTAGTCTTAGTGTAGAAGACATAGAAGAGTCAACTTGCCCTGCCCTTGGTTCATCCTTCATGGTGAGTACTTCTTATCACAGCGAATTTCTACTCCCACCATCTTCTTTCACAAGAGACTCCCACAAAGCAGTACTTCCTTCCCTTTAGGCTTCATGGGCAACAAAGGGAGATGAATTGGACTTATGCCTTCCAAAGTCTCATTCCTGTGGCAATGGGCTCACTTCTCTGCCCCTCCCCCTTTCTCTCCACTTAAGGATCTGTAGGAGACAAAACTCCCACCTCAAGGATGTCAGGGCTATGTGGGCAAGATTAAATCATAAACTATAGAGTATTAGTGCTAGAAGGGATCTATAAACTCACCCAGTCCATTCCCTTCATTTTATGGATGAGAAATCTGTAGGAGACAAAACTCCCACCTCAAGGATGTCAGGGCTATGTGGGCAAGATTAAATCATAAACCATAGAGTATTAGTGCTAGAAGGGATCTATAAACTCACCCAGTCCATTCCCTTCATTTTATGGATGAGAAAACTGAGTCCCAATTACAGCGAGTTAGTAACAGAGTCACGACCGTGACTAGAATCTAGGCATACTATCCACCAGTCCGGGGCTTTTCCATTACGCAATTAGGCTCGGGTCCAGAGAGACATCCTGGAGACTTAGGGAGTTGGGGACTGTGCCAATCTTCCTGGTCCCACTTCGATGCCCAGAAAGAAGTGATGAATAACTAACTTGTTTATCTGTTCCAAGCTGATTCCCCTACCATTCCAGGAGATGAAAGGAGCCCTTCCCTTTCTTCTTCCACCTTCTCCCTCTTCCCCTTCCTCTTCTTATAACCCTTCCTCTTCACCCACTTTCTCCCTTCTTACAACCTTTCTCTCTCCCCAACTCCTCCATCCACCCCCTTCTCCTTTCTTCACTCATCACCCTGCTGAGATGCTAAGGTCTAGTCTGGGCCATGCCTATGACTAAGGGAAGATCTGGGCCTTATTCAGCCCAATTCCTACAGCACCTTCCCCTTCTCAGTGTCTCATTTGTTGTCTTCCCCTAGTAATGATCTGACCTTCACTTGAAAAAATGGATGGATGGGCCCACTAGACTTGGGTCTGTGGCAGTGAAAGACCGTGCAGGATGCCTGGCTGAGGAGATGGCAGGACCTCTCTGTTTGATGGGCTGACAACGCATATAAACTCATAGAAAAAATTCCAGGGATTCTAGCCAATCCCAGCTCTAAGAGAGAAGAATGTTCCCCTCAGGAAGTAGAAAGGACATCAGGGTCGGAGTCCCTGAAGAGGGTCCCACCTGATCTAAACAAGCTTCTCTTTCTTGATTTGCCCCTAGTTTTCTTTTACCCACAATTAGGGTTCATGGCCTGAACCTGTGCTGACATGGGGCTAGTGAGCTCTTGAATTTGAGATTAAGAATAGGCACAGTGGGCCAGGGATTGGCTGCCATATTGGTTTGTCCAAGAATTAGGGTGGGTAGAGTTGATGGCACAGGGTTGGCTCTTAGCTCTAGTGATGTCTCACCTCCCTTTACTTGCTGGGATAAAGGAAACGTGTCCTAGTGAGGGGGGAAGAGACTGGGACAGTGGAAGCTCCCAGGTGCCTTTGTCTTAGTCTCCTGACCCCTGGAAAACTAACACCCTTCCTTGAAACTTCAAGTTGACACTTAGTCAATTCAATTCAATAAGCATTTATTATGCACCCAAAGTACTGTGCTGGAGGAGATACAGCAGTATGTAAGAGAAAGTGTAAGTAGCACTTTGAAGATGAGTGAGGAAAGTTCATTAACAAATGTGTGTGTCCAGGGAAAGTGCCTGGGAATCTGGGAAGCTTCCTGGAGGGTGTTGTATCGGAATGTGGCTTTAAAGAAAGGGTAGCAATTCAAAGGATAAAGAGGAAGAAGGAGGACAAATAGGCAACAGGAAGAGACAAAGAAGAGAAACAGAGTATGTATGAGGAGAGGGGTTCAGGTGGTGAAAGCACAGTTTCAAGCAGAGAAGAGACGTGATCAACTCTGGGTTAAAGATGACTCCAGAAACAGTTTTAGGGGCAGACTGGAAGAGAATTGAGTACTGGCAAGAGTCCTGTTTAAGAAGTAATTCCAATGGAGGCAGCTAAGTGAGTACTTACTAGCTATGTGACCCTGGGCAAGTCACGTAGCCCCGACTGCCTCACCAAAAAGAAAAAAAAAAGAAGTAATTGTAATGGATGGGCAGCTCCCTTCTTTGCAGAGATCATAGGATCATAGATATAGAGGCTGTCCAATTCATCCTACCCCCTCATTTTCCAGATTAGGAAACTGAGGTACAGAGAGCTTCAGTGACTTGCCCAGGGTCATACAACTAAGTATGAGAGGTAGGATTCAAACCCAGGGTCTATGAAACATGGCTTATTCTGTCAGTTGGTGTGTTATTTAGTTTTGCTAAGCTGCCTTCCCCCCGCCCCCCCACCTTCTCTTTTTTTTTAGATTTTTTTGCAACCAAGAATACTTGCTGGGTAGGGGAAAGGGTAGGGATATAGTTGTTGTTGCTGCTGTTGTCATTTCAGTCGTGTCTGACTCTTCTTCACCCCATTTGTGGTTTTCTTGGCAAAGATACCGGATGATTTTCCATTTCCTTCTCCAGCTCATTTCACATGTGAGGAAAGTGAGGCAAACAGGATAAGTGACTTACCCTGGGTCATACAGCTAGTTAGTGCCTCAGGCTGGATTTGAACTTGAGAAGTCTTTCTGACTCTGGGCATGGAGTTCTATCCACTGTGCTGCCTAGCTGCCCTAGAGCTATAGAAAGTATCCCAAATGTCTTAATGTACTCTTAAGCTTTAATAGCTTTAAACTACACTAAGACTTCTGGGACATGCTGTGTGAATGTAGGTGATATGAAAACAAAATATATAAATGAAAATTTCAAGTTAACAAACAAATGAAAAATCATCTAGGAAGGTGATAATAAATGCCAATAAAATGATGGTAGTGGGGATGATTACAAGACATAGCATACAGTCCAGTAGAGAAGAAACAGGAAAGTCATACTGGCAGGTGTATGTGTGTGTAACCCTTTCCTCCACAAAGTCTAGTTCCCATTTCTTTTCTTTTCTTTCTTTCTTTCTTTCTTTTTTTTTTTAGGCAGTTGGGGTTAAGTGACTTGCCTAGGGTCACACAGCTAGTTAAGTATCAAGTGTTTGGTCTGAGGTTGGATTTGAACTCAGGTCCTCCTGACTCCAGGGCCGGTGCTCTATCCACTGTGCCACCTAGCTGCCCCTAGTTCACATTACTTGAAGCTGTGCCTTCCTCCCTTCACCAGCCAAACATAGGAGTCATTTAATCAGAACAAAAATCCCAAGTCACTGATGCTAAGCACAGAATTGCTGATTGGCATGTGATTTACATGAAATTCAACAAACATTCATTAAACACTGATGAAGTGTGAGACATTTCCTCTGGTACTAGAGATCCAAAGATGAACCAAGGCACAAATTCTGCCCTAGAAGAGATTGCATTCCCTTGTTGTGTCTGGAGGTGGGATAAGACATATATACAAATAGCTATGATACAAGGCCGACTATGGTGAGGCAAAGGAAAGGTCCCTACAAAGTGCTCTGAGAATTTTGTGGAAGGAGAGATCATTCCAGAATTGTAGGATATTGAAACTGAAAAGCCCCTTAGAGATCATTCAACCCCTTCTTTTGTCAGAGGAGGCAACCGAGAGAAAAGACTCGTCCAAGGTCACACAGCTAGCAAAGGGCAGAGCTGGACCTTGAATCTGGTTCTCCAAACCCTCCAGCCATCTTCATTTAATGTTGACATGCAAAGGGCTTTATCAAACCACCAAACTCCAAGAGCCTCCAGCTGTAATAGTCTCTGGGAATCTTTTGAACCTTGAAAAGGCTAAAAGGCCTTGATTGGCTGACTAAAAAATCTGAATGTTACTCAAGTGTGGCAGTAAGGGGCCTTTGCACAATTTCAAGTGGAGAAGAGACCGGATCACCTCTGTGTCAAAGAAAGACGAGTGTAGCAACGATTTTGAGGACAATGGAAGGAAATTGAGTAGGGGCAGGAATAATGATAAGGTGTCAGATTAGGATGGTCCACCCTGGAAATCAACTAGTTGTAATCTACTAGGAGGGTCTAGCTCCTGAGCAGGGCTGCTTTGATGAGGTCTTTAAATTCTCAAGGTCTAAGTTGAAGAGGGAAGACTCCGCTAACCCAGAAATAACCCTCATCCATAAAGCTAGAGCCAAAAGACCTGAGTTGAAGTGCCACTTCTTAAGGGTGTGATCTTCAACAAATAACACCTTTTCTGAGACTAAATTTCCTTTTCTGTAAAATGAGGATGACAATAATAATTATTATTCTAATAAATAGCTATGATTTATACAATGCTTTAAGATTTTAAAATCTCTTTATAAACATTACATCATTTGTTATTTACAATAACCCCCATTTTACAGATGAGAAAACTGAAGCTAAAAGAAGTTCAGTGACTTGCCCACGCTCACACCACTAATAAGTGCCTGAGTCGGAATTGGAATTCGTGTCTTCCTGACTCCAAGTCTGGTACTCTATCTACTGTACTACCTACCTGCTAGTAATATCTGTATTACCTCCCTCAATTAATCAGCAAACATTTATTAAGTACCTACTATGGGCCAAGCATAATAGGTACAAAGATAAAAATGACTTTGCTGTCAGGAGACTTACATTTGCTGGAAGAGACTATACATATTGATATAAGCATATACAAAAAGAATCCAAGGTGGTCAAGGAAGTTGATAGAGGTTGGGGGAGGGGGAGAGATCAGGAAAGACCTCATGAAGAAGGTGATGCTTGAGCCAAATTTCAAAGGGAGTAAAGGATTCAAAGGAGGTGGAGTAAGGCAGGATTGCACTTGGCTAAAGCAAAGGCAGGGAGACAAGAATGAAGGTCCTGTGCTGTGAGAATAGAATAAGGTAATGTATACAGAGTGCCTTACAAACCATAAGGAGTCAGAGAAATGTCAACTATTCTTTTTCAAATCAGGTCTGAAGGTATGTCCCACTCTGTTTTGCTTACCCTACCCTGACCAGCCCCAGTGTTAGGGTTGTGTGCAGTGGAATGAATGCTGTCTGAATTAGAAGAGGCTGGGGGGCTTCCCCCACTACTGACCCGGAAAGGGCCTAGGGCTCCCCACCCCAAATCCAGGCTCTGTGACTTCCCATCTATTACAGATAGATGCAACTGTGCAGGACAAGCGAAAGACAGCAGCCATGGAGACGATTCGAAGCAGCTCCCTGCCTTCCCACCATGATGACCTGGAAGCCTTTCCAAACGAGATGCTGGAGACTGTGGACATTGTGGTTCTCATCCTCTATTTTGTGTTTGTCCTAGCTGTGGGACTTTGGGTAAGGCAAAGATCGTGGTTCCTTCACATCCTTGGGCTCTGCCAGCATAGCTGGCTAGCAGCTAAAGGGAGCCTTCTGAAGGGAAGAGACAAATGAATGAATGAAGAACATTCATTGTGTTCGCTATGTGCCAAGCTCTGTGCTAAGACAGTCCCTCTTCCCAATGAGTTCACACTCTAATTTGGGGAGATTTAAGAGAGTTCAGCTACAGGTCAGATAGTACCCACTGGTCAGAAGGGCATAGTAACTGGGCAGATGGTAAAGCATGGAAGCCCTTCATTTTACCAAAAGGCTTGTAATCTGTGACTCCAAGCCCATCCAAGTTGTATGAACATCCATGTCTACTGCCAAGGGTAGAGAGTCCAGAGGAATCCTGCACCACTATTGGGAACAGGCCTTATTGGAATAGAATTCTGGATTCCCTTACTGGGTTGGAATGTTGCGTAGTAGGGAGAATGGACCACTCCCTTGGCCCCCAGTGGTTCTCTAGGTGGGATCTAACAGATAGCATTAGATAGAAGTTCTCTATCACTACCACTATCCCCTTTGCCCCTTACCTTGGTTTACTTAAATTTTTATGTTTCCCATAACTATATCAGAAGTTCCATTAGGTCTTAAAAAGTCCTACTTAGGGCTCTAGGTAATGGATTGTGGAAGACTTTCTGGTTGATTACACAGGCTTAAACACTCTTGCTTCAGAAGGCATGCCTATTACCTGGAGCCAGCCTGGGCACTGGCATCCCTGATTACCATGTTTTGGACCACAACCACAATGACAACTACTCTCAGGTAGAAGTAGTTTCCTTCCCTAGAATGGACTTTCTCTCCCTATGTTTCAGTCTATGTGGAAGACCAAGAGAGACACTGTCCAAGGATACTTCCTGGCTGGAGGGAACATGATATGGTGGCCGGTGAGTAGGGCTGGAGCCCAACTAAGCCTCCCTGGTGGAGACAGGGAGGTACTCCCTGGATTGGCAATATAGACCCCCTAGATTCAGAGCCAGGGAATGTATGTGTTGAGGTAAAAGGGGGAAATGAGAAAACTTGTCCATCTTCTGTCTCCAACTCCATGGGCAGGTACCACATTGGGATGGTAGCCCAGGTAAATCCTGAGTAGTCCCAAGTAGTAGTGACTTGGTGTGAGGGTTAGAGGTGATCACCTAAGACACATAAAGAGCATTCTGGAGCCCATGGGTTGAGTTTTTCCCTACATCCCCATCATCATTAGGAATCTCAGGGTCAGAGTGGCTCTCATAGCTTCTTTACTCATCAGTGGAAAGCAAGGGGGCTTTGCCCCACTATAACTCCATGACATCCATAGCTGCTTGGGTCATCAATACTATTATGGCTATTGGAGGCCATTAGGTTTAACCCTCTGCCTCTCTTTCCCAGTGGTGCCTCTCCAGTTAGTGTTTGATGAGTATTCTGTCCTAAGGGCCTCTTCATAACAAAGATTATAAATCACCCTCTTCTACCAGCAAAAAACGGGACCAGGGGCTATCAGGAAATCCAATAGCCTCTTAGGTTATTCAGCTCTCTAGCCCCGGCTGAGTTACGTAGGCTCTGAAGACATCGGGCTTAACCTTTCCATGATGAGATATACCTCTCCCCTCACAGGTGGGAGCTTCTCTCTTTGCCAGTAACATAGGAAGTGGGCATTTCATTGGCCTGGCTGGATCAGGAGCAGCTGTGGGGATTTCCGTAACAGCTTATGAGTTTAATGTAAGTATTTTATTCAGTCAGCAAACTATTAGAATTTCTATTGATTTTTTTTTTGGTTATTGTTGTTTTAACATCACTTTAGTTTCCAGCTATGATTCATCATCAGTCTTCCGGAGTTGTGATTGGTTCTTGCCATTGATCAGAATTCTTAAGTCTTTCAAAACTGTTTTCCTTTACAGTGTTGTGGTCATTCTCTAAATTGTCCCTCTGGTTCTTCCTACTTCAATCTGCATCAATTGTTACAAGTCTTCCAAAGTTTTTTTTGACTCTGTCCCTTTCTATAGTGGAGTTTCTTAAAGTGGGTCCATCTGTATACAGAGATCATGACCTAAATTATTTTGAAGGGGAAAGAAGAGGGTTCTGCATTTCTGCTCCCACAGTCCATGCATTCTTTTATCCTTTCAGCATTTTGTGTTAATATATAACACGTGTACATAGGACATCATGTGTCATGTACTATGCTTGGTGCTGGAGATACAAAGAGTTATAAGCTACTAGTGCTTATGGGGACTGGTTAGCGTTTGGGTACCCTGATCTCAGTGAGCTTCCAGTCTAGCAGGCAGACCTGAGTCATGGGCATAGCTAAATAATCTACAAATTAGAATGTGAGGGGGGCAGCTAGGTGACGCAGTGGATAGAATTCTGGCCTTGGAGTCAGGAGGACCTTAGTTCAAATCTGGCTTCAAACACTTGCTAACTGTGTGACCCTGGGCAAGGCACTTAACCCCGATTGCCTAGCAAACAGCAAAAAAAAAAAAATTAGAAAGTGAGGATGAGAGGGAGATATCACTGAAATGAAATGGAAAGTTTGAGAAATTGGGAGATAAAAAAGAGTAGCAAAGGGTGTGGGATTTTATACATACATAGATATAGATATAGATATATTTTCATATTAGTTAAATACTAAAGCACTTACCTTAGAAGCAAAGTTATATGTGAAGTAGTTGGATCAGCAGGGCCTAGAGTCAGGAAGACCCAAGTTCAAATCTATCCTCAAACACTTAGGGGCTGTGAGACTCTGGACAAGTCGCTTAACCTCTGTCTGTTTCAGTTTCTTCTGCTATAAAATGGGTATAAATCATAGCATCTACATGCAAGGGTTGTTGTAAGTCTCAAATGAGATAATATTTGTAAAGGGCTTAGTACAATGCCTGGCATATAGTAGGCACTTAATAAATGTTTGTTTCTTTCTTTATTCTAGCTCTAAATTTCCGATCCTCTAAAGCACAATGTAACTTTCCAAATGAAATCTAGACTACTCTCCTCCTTCCCCTGTTCCATTCTAGGCCCAGCCTATCACCTATTCCCAGTGCAAATTAACATCATTTTTGTGTCAGTAGCCCAGGTATGTATGTTTCTAGAAGAGCTTGGAACAAGGTTGATTGTGCTTTCCTCCACAGGGGATCTTTTCTGTGCTGATGCTGGGCTGGATTTTCCTTCCTATCTACATTGCTGGAGGGGTGAGTCTGATGGGGGTGGGGGAGGGTGGGGAGGTTATTAGGACCTCAGGTTAAAGTACATTGGGATAGTAACCTCTTCCATTCATTTGTTTGTTCCTCCGACAAGCATTTATTGCTCCCCTAAGGAGGAAGCATGGAAAAACTCAATTTAGACAGAGGTTGCTGTTCAGTTAGGTCCAACTCTGTGACCCTGTTTGGAGTTTTCTTGGCAAAGATACTGGAGTGGTTTGCAATTTCCTTCTCCAGTTCATTTTACAGATGAAGAAACTGAGGCAAACAGAGTTAAGTGACTTGCCCAGGGTCACACAGCTAGTAAGTGTCTGAGGCCAGATTTGAACTCAGGAAGATGAGTCTTCCTGACTTCAGGTCCCATACTTTATGTACTGCACCACCTAGCTGCCCCTGAATTTCAACTCTGATTCTCAATATCCATGTGAACTTGGGCCCATTTCCCCTCTCTGAGCCTCAGTTTCCTCATCTGTAAAATAACTAGCCAATTGATAAGATCCTTTTCCTTTTATTTTTTTTTCATTTTTTTGATTAGGCAATGGGGGTTGTGACTTGCCCAGGGTCACACAGCTAGTAAGTGTTATGTGTCTGATGCCAGATTTGAACACAGGTCCTCCTGAATCCAGGGCTGGTGCTCTATCCACTGCGCCACCTAGCTGCCCCTCCTTTTCCTTTTAAAAAAGTGGTTTTCATTCTGACCAATAAAATGAGCATTTCCACACATAAAGTAGAGAGAAAATGAGAATGAAACTGCCCATCTCTATTACATATAGGGTGCTTTTCCTTTTAAGTATAGGCTAACAGGGGTGAGGAACCTGTGGCCTTGAGGCCACATGTGGTCCTCTAAGTCCTCAAGTGCAGCCCTTTCCCACAGGTTCCCCACTCCCGGATGGGAGAAATACATGTAACTTTCAAAGCTGTCATATTTGTCTGTTTCTTTCTGTTCTCTTCTGTGCATTTTATTAAATTCTTCAGTGACTGTCATTTCTTTCTTTTCCTTTTCTTTTTGATAACCCCATCACTAATCCCCATCTCCCTCTCACCTTCCCCAAATGGAAAACAAAAACAAAGCCCCTCTAACAAATATACATAGTCAAGGAAGACAAATTCCCCTATTGTCTGCGTCCAAAAGTATCTGTTTCTGCACACTGAGTATCTATCATCCTTGTTTCAGAGATGAGTACAATGAGCATGTGTCATCATTGCTTTTCTGGTCCTAAGAACCCTTTCAACATGAACTCCATTAATCCTAGAGTTTGCATAACAAGTTAGTGTCAGGGTCAAGACTCCAAGACACGTTTACTCCCACAAATTCCAGCATGTTTTCCATCAGTCCACATGGCCTTCCCTCTCATTGCTGCCATGGGGAAGAGTGGGCATCCATTAGACATCCTTGGATCAATCTCTCAAATATGCACCATGGTATGAAACTAACATGCCCTGAGCCTCCACAAAGATGCCTCCTCTCCTGGAAAGGGATTCAAAACTAGTCAGCCTAGAGTACCAGTTGCAGGTTTTGACTAGAGAAAGGTCACTTTCTAAAGTCCCCTTAAGCTCTAAATCTATAATCCTTATTTTGAAAGTACCAGGGGGACCCATCTCCTCCCTCATTTCTCCCTAAATTTTTTATCCAGCTGCCTGGTCAAGTATGGGACCCAACTAGTTCGTGCCGCTTTGTTCCTCTGACTTCTCTCATTTCCTCTCTGATCTATTCTGTAACAGTAGGGAAACTACTACTGTCTTTCTGAGATCCTAGGAGCTCACACTCTATGCTTTGGAGCAAGGGAGCTCTGCTGTGAGTGTGGACCCTCACTTTAGTGAGTTACGAGTTAGTTTTTATATTGCCAAAGAACCATGGAGCGTCTAATACCAGATCTACCTTCCCTCCTCTCCCAGGTCACCACCATGCCGGAATACTTACAAAAGAGATTTGGAGGCAAACGGATTTCCTTGTTCTTGGCTATTCTCTATTTGTTCATCTACATTTTCACCAAAATCTCGGTAAGAACATGAATAACACTTTCCTAAAGCCTTCCCCTTATCAGTCATCCTTTCATGGACAAAGACCAAGTCACTGTCAAAGGCCAAGAGGACCACTCACAACTGGTGCAGGTAAATACATGATCACCAGATGAAAGGTCAAGTTCCAATCACTCTGCTGCTCTTTGGACAGTGGTAGCCTCTACATGGGCATCTCCTCTTTTCTCAGTAGTGCCCTTTCCTATCTGGGACTAGGAACTACACTTCAAAAAGGAAGTGAAAAAGGAAGGTGGGGGTGGGGGAAGAGGGGAAGGGAAGAAAGGAAAAGGGAAGGGATGGGTGAGGAAGGGGAGGAAGGAAAAGGAGGAGGAGGGAAGATAAAGATGAAGTGGGTAGCAGAGATTCTTCTCTTTCCAGGAAGTGGCCAAAAGTAGCTAGACAGCTGGCTTACTCATTGGCTTAATGTGAAAGGCAAAACTTAGTGAAGCCATTAACTTCCAGTCCTTAATTGGCTGGACCTAGTTTCCTCATAGGGCTGCTAGATCATTCCCAGGGGCAGCTCCCTTAGCTGATCATGTTCTGAGTGGTGCCACAGGAATGACCTTAGTAAAGTCATGTGACCTGGGTATCAGAAAATCGAATATCAAGGCTCCCTGTACCCTGTAACCACCCTCCTACACTCATGCATCCTTTGAACAATCAAACATGCTAAGGAACAAAGAAAGGGCCCCTCAATGGGGAATGACTCATTTCAGCAACCACAGGGTCCAGGTGTTGATGAAGAATGATGAGACCTCAGGGAGAGGGCACCAACCTTAACTCTAGCAAGATGTTGGCTGTCAGTCAAAATGAATTGTTGGTTCCCACAGCAGAAGGGATGAAAGAAAACAAATTTACAAACTGTGTGAGGGAAGGAGGGAAAGAAGCAGCAGCTTCTCCCTTGTGTAGGAAGCATAGAATGGAAAGAGAACTGGGCTTGGTGTCAGAAAGACCTGAGTTCAAATCTCACCACTGACGCCCTGAGCAAGTCAACCTCTTTGTACACCTTGGGTTTCTCATGTATAAGAAGGGGGAGTTAGACTAGATGGACCTCTGTGATCTTAATTATCTTATTTCTTCAGGTGGACATGTATGCGGGAGCCATCTTTATCCAGCAATCCTTACATCTGAATTTGTACCTTGCAGTGGTGGGACTGTTGGCGATTACAGCTGTGTATACAGTGGCAGGTATGGCTGAAACCCTGGGGATGACACTGGGAAGTCTCAGGTTAGGAATTAATGTGGTGCCGTGCAGGCTACTCAAGCAATTTCTGCCAGAAACTACTTCTGCACCCTTTCATCCAACACCATTGTCTGATGGGTAATCAGGGTCCCTTCTCAACATTGGAAGTGCAATACTATTCATTAGAAATGGCCAAGCTATTTGCCGTGGTCCTTTTTCAGAGAAGGAACACAAGGCTCAGATCAGTGAAGCCACTTATTTGCCCCATGTTCCCTGGTCTAATAAGAAATATCTGACTTTGAGGTCACAGGACTTGGAGATTAGAGGTCATCTGATTCAATGCCCTCATCTTATGGATAAAAAAATCAGGGCCTAAAAAGTTGAGGTGACCACATATCTTTCATCTTCATCCTCATCTTCAGAGACATCACCATTCTAACGCTCATACCTTCTATTCAGTTCAACAAGTATTTTTTAAGCACTGCATGCCGGGAATTAAGATATTTATACTAGGAGTGGAAAGGAGAGAATGGAGATAAAAGATATTTTAGAGGTTAAAGGTGCCAGATGAAAATACAGATACAAGAAAAAAAAGGGGGAAAAAATCCCAGTTCCTGTTTACATTCTACTTTGTACAACAAGCTATGGAGACATTGCCTTTAGATTTTTTTAGGGTCCAAGAACATTTCTCTTCAAGCCTTTCAGGAAGATTTTTATTTGGTCACCCCCTTCCTTAATAAGCCTGGAATCACTCGCTGTCCTCTCACCCTTTTGTATGGTCTAAAGGGAAAATGTGTGTACTCCTACCCTAAAATTAGCCCCTCTGCTGGAGCATGTGTGGTTACAGAGGTAGCATGTCCTCTCTCTGGACCTCAGGATCTTCATCTTTAGAAGGACTGGGCTAGGTATGGGGGATGGGGGTGGGGTGGAACAAGCTTTGGATTTGGTCAAAGGGCTGCACTTGAGGACCTGGAGGGCCACATGTGGCCTCAAGGCTCAGGTTCCCCATCCCTGATTAGGCGATCTCCCAAATCTCTTCCTGCTCTAAAACACTATAGCTCCAAGGAGAATCAGGACAATATTGTGTCTTTATTGAATTATGGCAAATGGCCTTCTAAAGGGTGTCCCTGCCTTCTTATCTACCTGCTACTAATTCTCATCCTAATCTACCTCACCCATTGAGTACTGCTTTAGGAAGATGAATTGGACAGCAGAGTCTTTTAATAGTTTCCCATTACCAGTAAAATAAAATGCAGAGCTCTGTTATTCAAGACCCTCCATAATATGGCCTCCACACATCATTCTAATCTTAGCTTAAGCTATTCTCCTCAAAACATTCCACTTCAGCCAAACTGTCTATCCATGTGCTGTTTACCTGAACATTCTATTTAATTGTGGGCCTTCCCTAAGGTTCTCTCCTTGGTCTTCCAGATGGTCAGAACTTAATAAATGCTTGAATTAAATTGAGGTATCTTCCTTTTCCACAGTCTCCTTAGGACAACTCATTCATTCATTTCAATGGATCCATAAACTTTTGGGTGTAGGTATAACTTTGGGGTACCTCCATACCAGAGTACTGGGCCTGGAGTTAGGAAGACCCAACTTCAAATGTGACCTAAGGATATTCACTAGCCTTGTGACCCGTAGGCAAATCTTTGAACCTCTCTGGGTGTTAGTTTTCTTATCTATAAAATGGGGACAATAACAGCACCTACCTTCCAGGGTTGTTGTGGGGATTAAATGAGGTAGCAGAGTGCCTGGCACAAAGTAGGCACTTAATAAATCTTTCTTTCTCTTTCTCTCTTTCTCTCTTTCTCTCTCTCCCCTCTCTTTTTTTCTACTCCTCTCTCCCCCTCTTTCGTCTCTTTCCCTCTTTCTTTTTCTCTTCCCCTCTCATTTTTCTTTCTCTTCCTCTTTCATTTGTTCTCTTTTCTCTCTCCCCCTCTACTTTTCTTCTATCCTTCATTCCTTCCTTTCATCCTTCCTTCCATTCTTTCTTTTCTCTCTTCCCTTCTTTCCTTCTTCTCTTTATTCTTTATATCCTTCCTCCTCTTCCTCTGCCTCTTCCTCCTCCTCCTCCTCCTTCTCTCTCTCTGTGTCTGTCTCTCTCTCCTCCCTTCCCTCCCTTCTTTCCATCCTTCCTTCCCATCAGTCCTCCATTGGAGAGCCCAATCCACTAGGGGCTTTCATTTGACTATTTTAATGCTTCACGTACAGCATATGGGTGATCCATCTGTTATCTCTCCCTGTCACTATATGACCTACCTACATCCTTTTTCCAGTAACATGGCCTTAATGATGTCTTTTATGACATTTTTCTCTTACAAGTCATCTTAGTAATAGCTACCATGTTTCTTCTCATGGACTTTGGGTCACCTGAAACTGTAATTCTTCCAAGATTTTTATTGTTTGGTATTTCACAAACATATAGTCTTATAAGGAGAATTTGGGTGTTAAAAAGATAGACTTCAGGCACAGTAAAAATTTGAGAATTGGTGAAAGGATTGCCCAGTTTCCCCAAATGTGATTCAACCCAATCTCCTCTTATTTAATCTTGGACCTAGCAATAGGGAGCCACTGAGTAGAGGAGTTATGTGATGGGTACAGTGCATTAGAAAGGTTACTCCAGCAGCAAGCAATGTGAAGGATGGATTAATGAAGATATTGACTTCAAGGAGATCAGTTAGGAGGCTCTGACAAGAGATAAGGTCCTGAATTAAGACTTTACTTGGGATAGTAGTGGAAAGGAAAAGATTACTGTAAGTGGCATTTTAGAGGTTGAATTGATAAGCCTTAAAATCAGGTTAAATGTGGGGAATGAGGAAGAGGGAAGAGTCAAAATGGTTCCAAAGTTAAGAGATAAATGAAAAGTTTCACTGTGCTGTGTACTAGGATCCCATTCTTCTACCCCACCCACTAACTAGCCCCTTCAAGCATAACAAGTCAGTTGGTCCAGCCCTTACGTTTCCCCCCTAAGTTCATGTCAATACCAGGTAGTGTTTTTTCCCAAGTTGATTATGCTGGGATGCTTATGCTTGGAATATATTTTTAACATCTAAAAGCCACTCAGAGTAAATCCCTCCTGCCTCCATCCTTATTGTTTTTGTTTTCCCTTCAGGTGGCCTGGCAGCCGTGATCTACACAGATGCTCTGCAGACTATCATCATGCTGGGAGGAGCATTCACTTTAATGGGATACAGTGAGTATTTCCAGGCATTCCACGTTGAGCATCATTAAATTGCTGTTATTGCTGTATTTTTTTAAAGTTGTTTTTAGAAGTAGAGGCTAGGTACAGCCGGGTGGCAATTGGTGGTTAACAGAATAGTTTAGTGGCAAGGACCCAGTTCAGAATCCCCTCTGAGTCTCTTTATTTGCAAAATGGGAATAATAACATTTGTACTACCAACCTCACAGAGTTGTAAATCATAAAGCAGCATCTAAAAGTCAGCCCTCATCCTTAGGGAATGAATGCCTTCTTCATTCACCTTCTATTTATTTCTAGGACCATCCTCTTCACTCCAAACAGGGATGGGTCATACCCATCACTCATAACTGTTCCACATCCAGGATCTACAATTCTGAGGTTCTTCTCATTGACCATCACCTTCCAACCTTCAATCTTTCTCTCCTAAGCCTGTTCTTCATCCTCCCCATGAACTCCAGTCCTTCTACCTCTTCTTGTTCTCTCTATCCATCACCTTTATGCTGGCCTTCCTTTCTGCCCTCCACACTCTTGACCTTTCATTTGGCCATTTGGACCCCATATGACCAGTGACCCTCGTAACTCTTGCCCCTACTGCTAGTCTCACCTTGTCCAAATCCAGCTGGGTTGCTCTTACCATCTGTCTTCCCCATTCCTAATAACTAGCACTGAATGCTCCTGAAGAAAGTCACACGGCCTAAGTTTACTCCAGTTTATGTTAATTAATCTCAGTCTGACCCTAACTGCTGCAAGGCAATCCTTTTCTTCTTCCTGATTATTCCAGACTTTCTCCTCTATCTTTAAAGTTCCAACACCATCTTCTCCCTATACTCTCTTGGCAGAGGAATTTGCCTCTTAATTAGCTGAGGTGATTGAGATTAGTGAGTTCCCTCTTCTTCCCTATTCTATACTTCAGACCTCAAACAGAAATGGATTCCTACAGGCTGCATGTTGACTTAGAAAACCACAAATTAACATTGTCTATATGGGGCAGCTGGGTGGCACAGTGGATAGAGCTGCTGGGCCTGGAGTTGGTAGGACTCGTCTTCCTGAATTCAGATCTGGCCTCAGACACTTACTAGCTGTGTGGGCAAGTCACTTCACCCTGTTTGCCTCAGTTCCTCGTCTGTAAAATGAACTAGAAAAGGAAATGGCAAACCACTCTAGGATCTTTGCTAGGAAAACCCCAAATGGGGTCACAAGAGAGGACATGACTCAAAAACAACAAAAACTATATTTTTGTTTATTTTGGTAAACATTTCCCTGTTACATTTCTATCTGGTTTAGGCTCCTCATCAGCTTCGCAGGCCACAAAGTTTGAAACTTCTTCCTCAATTCCATTCTCTCCTCCTTTATCCCATTTTCTGTTGAAGAGGCGGCCCTTATGGTTGCCAAACCCAACTTCTCCACTGCATTCTGGATCCCATACCTCCTGTTTCTTCTGGAAACTTGTCCTTTTAGATCATTCCTTTTCTAATCTTCATCCTTGTCCTGTCTGCTTGCTCTTCCCCTGCCACCTACAGAGAGGCCACGGTTCTCCCCATCCTTACAAAGCCCTCAATTGACCCTGTGATCCTTCCAATCTATTGTTTTATATCTCTTCTCTCTTACATAGCCAAACCATTGAAAGATTCCTACATAGTATCTGCCCCAATTCCTTTACTTTCTACTCACTTTTTAGTCCCTTGAATTCTGGCTTTGGAAAAATCTCTTCCCCTCACTCCACTGCAAGTCCAAGATGACTAATGATGCCTTAACTGCTAAATTAAGTGGCTTTTCCCCAGGCCTCATTCTGCCTGATCTCTCTGCAACTTCGGATACTGTTACCCTCTCTTTCTGGACACTCTCCTTCCTTGGGCTCCATAACACTCCTCTCTTGGTTCTCTTACTTGTCTGATCATTCCTTCTTACTCTCCTGTGGTGGATCCTCATCTTTTACCCACCTGCTAAGTGAGAGCATCTCCTAAGGCTCTGTCCTGGGTCTTCTTCACTCTATACTATCTCTCTCGCTTAAGGATTTCATCAGCTTTCAACTGTTCAAAGACAACTTCTGTAGAGACAAATGTCATATCTATCTACCTGGCCATAATTTCTCTCTCAAACTCTAGGTTGGTGTTTTTAATGTGGGGTCCATGAACTTTAAGAAAAACCAAATTTTTGGTAACCATGTTTCAATATGATTGATTTTGTTTGAAATTGTGTCTTATATTTTTTGCATTTAAAAACATAATTCTGAAAAAGGGTCTGTAGGTTTCACCAGACTTCTAAAGGAGTCCTTAAACTGTTAAGATTCTCCATTTTAGCTACTGACTGTTCTGCCAGATGTCACTTGCAATTTGAATACAATAATATCTTCCTTAACAGCCAAATATGCTCATAGCAACACTAAACTTTTACTGACTGCCATTTGATGCAAATGGTCATCCTCAGAAACTTCTCTGTAAAAGTGCTTTTATTGGGGAATATTACATTTAGAACATTAAAAAAAATCCTGGAGTTTTAAAAGGGCCTTTAAGCAGAGACTGAAAGTGATTGACACATGCAGTCAATCACATATAGATTACAATGAGTTCTATTAGCAGAGCCTACGTATGGTATCTGGAATTTTTGTCAGGGTATCTGAAAAGCCTCACTACTTAAGGAAAATGAGTAATTTCTGGGGAATCACATCAATCCAATCCCATTCAACAAATATTTATCAAGCACTTGCCGTATGCATTGTGCATGTAGTAGTGGAGCTGATACAAAGTTAAGATAAGACAAGGCCCCTACTCTAAACTTTTTCCACTTGTGACCTCTTTTCACCTGTAAATTTTTTTTTCTTTTTGGTAAGGCAATCAGGGTTAAGTGACTTGCCCAGGGTCACACAGCTAGCAAATGTCATGTGTCTAAGGCCACAATTGAACTCAGGTCCTCCTGACTCCAAGACCAGAGCTCTATCCACTTGTGCCACCTAGCTGCCCCACACCTGTAAAATTTTTATGTGACCCTGGGAATATAGGTATATAAAATAGGTATACAAATCACACATTTACTGATAATAAATCATTAAGAAATTTATTTTAAAGCAATTCTTTGGTATACACATAATTTTACCATTTATTAAAGATGAAAACAAATTTGCATACTAATGAGATGGATATTGTTTATTTTTACATAAAGAATTAAATCTTGGCAGAATATTTGATACTGCAGGATGTAGAGCATCTTCAATGTTTTTCAGAGTTGATAGATATTCTGGTTTTATAATCAGCAATGCTAAGAATGCCACTTCGCATAAATATGCAGTACAAAATGGCAGAAGAATATTCAGGGCCATTTCAGAAATTGTTGGAAATTCTGTCCTAATCCCAGGCCAAAATTCATTTTAATGATTCTGTATGTACAGTAAAACACTGCAATTCATAACATACAATAGTCTCGAATCTGAGCCGAGGTGTTCCTGGTAGAGTTCGCTAGTGTTGTGTGTTATGACTGCATGCACAGCACAAAACATGTATGTTGTGTGTTCAGAACCAAGGCTGCAGTGAAGTTGCATGATGAAACACAGGCAAGCGTTGCCAAAAACACCTTGGACTCATTACACGTTTGATTTTGAATTAATTTTTGGTTGGTGTGTGCTCAGAAACATTTTACTATTGCCAAATTTTTTGTTTAGTTATGCGACCCCATATTGTGACCCACGTTAAAGAAGCACTGCTCTTCAATAGACTTCTTGAGAGATGCTATCTCCTGGAAATTGCCAAGCGTGACTGAGACAGGCAAGATATGCTTCTCCTCCAGCTGTTGTCATGGCATCTGTACTTCTTGGGAGATGGATCAGATTGGCCCGGATCGAGAACGCTCCTCCTTCCCTATAGCTCTTATTCAGCCCCTATCTCCTGGCAGGCCCTCTTTTCTACCCTCCCCTATCTCCGAGTCTACACAGACAGATCACCCAGTCACCCATGAGCCATCTTTAAAACAGTGCTGGCTTGTGATGGGAAGAAATTACAAAAGGCCCCTCTACTCTTGCCTAAACTCATTGTCCTCTCTGCTAATTCTGGTAGGAATTCTACCAGTGCAAACCCAAGATCCAACCCCCCCGGAGGCCTTCAGCGTAGTTGATTTTGGTCAGCTTCCCTAGAATTTCAGCACTTCTCTGGCCTAGTTCCAGAGAACACTGTCCTTTAGCCCCAGGGCCTTCATGCTATCTTATCTGACAATTAGTCAGAGATCAACACGCATCTATTAAATATCTCTGTTATGTGCCAAGCACTGATCCAAAGACCTTGGTGACTTCACTGGCCACTGGGTCCCCATTTAAGACACATGATTTTTTACCTTTTCCTAGATGCTGAGACTGCTTGCATACCTCAGTACAGAGAGCTATTGCACCCAATTCTTAATTGCCTTTACACTTTGTCTGTAATTGGATAACCAAGTGTGGCACAAATATCATAAATTTTGAGCTGGAAGGACCTTAGAAACAATCTGGTACACAGATTCTTTTTTTTTTTTTTTTGGCTCGGCAATGGGGTTAAGTGACTTGCCCAGGATCACACAGCTAGTGAGTGTTAGGTGTCTGAGGCTGGATTTGAACCCAGGTCCTCCTGACTCCAGGGCCAGTGCTCTATCCCCTGTGCCACCTAGCTGCCCCTAGTTCATGGATTCTTAACCTGGGGTCTATGAGCTTGTTTTTAAAAAAGCTTTTAAAATTATTTTTATTTCATTAAATATTTCCCAATTACATGTAAACATATTTTAACTCATTTTTTTTAAATTTAGAGTTACAAATTCCCTCTCTCCCACCTGTCCCCCACTTTGAGAAGGCAAACAATTTTATATCAATTATACATGTAAAGTTATATAACACATATTTCCATATTAGCCATGTTGCAAAAGAAAACATTAAAAACAATAAAGGGGGGGGGGAAGCATGCTTCACCCTGCATTCAGAGCTCATCAGTTCTCCCTCTGGAGGTGGATAGCATCTTTTATCACGGGTCCTTTGGAAT